CTTCCTGAAATACTCTGTTAATAATAATAATGTAACACTAAAGCTGGAACTTGACATTTCCTCCGTAAACATCAGGCTCCAAGGAGAAAAAGGAAAGAACAAAAAGACTGTCCTTCAGGAGAAGGGAATTTTCTCCCAGTGTGAGGATCACCACCAGGTACCTCAGGGCAGGATTTGTGCCTTCCTGCTATTTTTAGCTGTGCTGTGGCGCCAGGATGCCAGCGCAGCACAAGTCCATAGGTCAAATGTTCATTCAAAATGGACCTTATTATTTACAGACAAGTGTTTCACCACTTTCTTCTTCGTTATCTTTTCAAATATATTTTGTTGCTTCAGAGTAAAACCAAACACTTCCACAATTCTTTCTTTAAATCTGGTATATTATCTTAGATCCTTTATGGCAGGAACGTACAGGAAAAAACAAATGCTCAGCCTGTACTTCAAGTGTAATTCCATGCACTGCTTGAAAAAGGGTGCTTTAAAAAACAAGCAGAGAATATTTATTAATTACAATACTCTTCCAGTAGTTTTATTGATCATTCATATAATGACACACACAGAATTCCCACCTGGTTTCCATGACCGGAGCCAGGCTGGAAGGGCAGAACCTGCACTCAGCCCCATGAAGCCCAGAGGATGGCTGCACATCTGGAATGTGGGCTCTCATCACCAGCACTGGTGCAGCTCCCACTGTGTGATCCCTCAAGCGAGCACTACTTGTAGCCAAAGCACCACAGAACTCCCCCAGACACAAACCCAGGCTGCCCTCACTCCCTCCTCAGGGCCTCGGCACACACTGAAAACCTGCTGTTTCTACTCCATCTATTTTCTTTTCCCATTTAAACAGGCACTAAAGTATACACTGCACTTAAATAAACCAGACAAACCCGTGCCTCCTGATAGCTGTAATTGCACTGCAGCCCTCAGCAGGAGCATCAGTGCATTTTGTATGTGGAGAACCTGCCTCCTCCATTCCAACCTCACGTGAATGAGGATGCTGCTTCAAAGGCATGCCTCAGTAATGGCCACTTCCATTTGTTTCTCTGCTCTTCTCAAGCACAGCATGTCCTCTACCATTTTACTACCTTCATGCCAGAACAGCACTTCAAACACCTTTTGATTTTCCAGCAGTAATTGCATCTCTGCCAAGCAGGGCTTCTGAGCTCCTGCTTCTACCACTGCTCCAGTGAGTAGTAAATTAAAGCCAATGTTCCCCAAAACCAGGGATGCGGCAAGCACTCCACATGAACACTTAAGCAATTACTGTCCACTTCCCAACTAACAGGTTATGAGCTAAAGAGAAAGTGAAAAGAATCCTTTCTCCCCCGTTTCTGGATGCCGGTTCGAATGGGGATCTGCATAAACCCCACAAGCATTCAGAGTTAACTGCAGCATTCCCAACCTGCCACCAAACATTGGAATTACAGCTCCCAGGTATGGTCATCGTGATCATTCTGGCAGGATGAACCCTCCGCATGCAAGAGTTGGTTACAGCTAGCTGTATCCAGGACTTGTCTATCAAAAAACGGGGAAGGAAAAAAGCAAATAAGGAAAAGAACTCAAGGGATTATGTACATGCCTGGTGCTGTTTAAGTAATTGAGAACAGAAACCAGGAAGAACAAAGAGTGCAATCCCTAGAATAAACCCTTGGTCATTACTCTTCTGTGGTCACTGTTTGAAATAGTACAACCAGAGTTTCAAGAATCCCACCTTTCAGTTCTGAGAAGAGCTTTCAGGTGACCCATCTGATTCAACATATTTAACAATGAAGGAACAATACACAGAATAGGAATAACTGTAAAGTAACTTACCTTTGATTTTTTGTTCAATGGCCTAGAACAAGAAAAGAGAAGTGTCAGTGATGTGTGCAGATAAACCCCCTGTGTGCACGTGCCGCTTCATAAAGCAACATTAGCTTCTGACTCCCCTCTTTTAACATGTTTTAGAGTTATTTAATTATCTACTTCAGAAGTGTCTCTAACCACACCATGCCTATTATTCTTCATGCCTAGAAAGCTGTTTAAATGTTATAGAAGACAAAATTAATTTGAAAGATAAGTACATGAAACAGACTGCATTAAACTTGCAAATGAAGATGTTTTGAGCGAGTTAAAAACTGTGCCTGGAAGCAAAGAACTGCCACCACTTTTATAGCAGAGGGAGGGACTAGACTTGTAAAGAAGAAAGGAACTGCAAAGACTTTCAGTCTTTCCAAGACTCAACTGGTTACACCTATGATACTGCCAACATTAGAGACCTGTTTGAATAAAACTGCAACTAAAAGTCTTAGGATAAAAATGGGGAGAGAAACAGGTCTGGTATGGAAGCACTCCTTAACTGCAAGGATTTAACTATAAACCAGCAAAATCAAGTTCTCAAAAGCATAGCTCATAGTTCTTCCTACCTGCAACTAGAGTCTTCTGAATTATCACTATTAAAATGCACTATTGCCAAAGCAAAATGAGATTTAATTTGATATGGCCACTCTGGCAGCCGTATACAGCCCATTTTAATTATGGCATCACATATATTCATAGGAGGCAATAAATTTTCCATAATACTTAAGCTATGATTGTCCATAATTGAAACCATGAGGAGAAAGGAGCACGTGTGAGTGCAATAGAGATTTACTGATTCACTGATCTGATCTGAGACTTGACCAGGTTCAGACACCAGCACTGCTAGGGCTGACTACTGAAACACTATTATCAGCTCTCCAGTGCCACAGCCTCACTTCTAAGGAAATCAAGAGTGCACTAAACCCCCTTTCTCAGCTTCTTTTGCCGACAAAGGCAAGTATAGACACAGAAATTGTAGTTGTACTGTCCAGTAGTTCAAAATGTGGCCTCTTACTCCCAAGAAACCCTGAGCAGCAGCTTTTCAGGGTTCTTATTTATGCTCTTTGTGAAAAATAGCTGCAGATGGAGACCCTGCAAAGCTCCTTCTGAAGAACCCTGCTTACTGCAGTGCATTAGCCACTGAGCTAAGAAACCAAACCAGGGCCAACACTTGCACCAGTGTATCAAACCCCCACCCCTCTTCAGTTTCAGTTTTGCCCGGTTTACCCTATTATGCTGCTTCCAACAACAGTGCCCTTATCCCCATCTGCCAGAAGGCAGCTCCTGTGCTTGGGGCACTACATAACACACCACAACTCCTCATCACACTCTTTGCTCAACAAATCTGGCTCAAAGCTGTATTTTGAAGGCTTGGGAAGTTGTGCATGCACTTCCAGCTCCCAGGTGCTGTATGCACAGCAGCTGGCTTTGAACCAAGTGTCCAAACCCCATTTGTATACTGTTATAAAAAGGAGACTGGAATACAGCAGTTGATGGCCCACAGAAGCTGCTCAGCATCAGCATGCAAGCACACAGCATGCCTTCTCCAAGTCAAGTGTCATATCTCTGACTGCTGCTGCTGTTCTAGAACTCCTTTTAGTTCAAATCGTCATAAAACTACAGGATATATAAACCCAAGCACTGGCTTTCCCTTCCACAGCACAACACGATGCTCCATCAGTTCTTGTCATGCCCATGCGCATGTTTAGAGCTTACCCTGGGGAGCTCATAATCCCTCCCCAGCTCTGACTTAAGAACCAATTCACTGACCCCTGAACAGCAACATGAGACAACCTAGAACTTTTCAGTGGGTTTTTTTTTGCTGTTTCTGACTGCCCACAGCACCCAAAGAGATAATGAAGATAAAAAGGTCACATTCCAAAATACACCAGTGCTTGGTCACAGTAAAATGCTTTAAAGGCTTTGCTGGAGAGCCTGTATTTGAGAACACAAACCAGGATGTTCTAAAGAGACATATCCAGCATTAGTCAGTGAAACCAGAGGAACTGCCAAGCAGGTTCACTCTGCTCCCACCTGAAATGGACACATTTACAAACAGATTTACAAGCTCCTCTCAAAGTCAGGGTCAGTCTTTAGAATCAATGGCCATCATGAGTATCTTGACTGTAAACAGGACTCTGAAGCGTTTACTCTGAAGCATTCCTGTGATGTTTCCATCCCAATACACCTTTGCTGTCAATGTTTTTATTTTTATCCACCTTCCCTAACACAAACTGTCTCATGACACTTGCTTCCATATGGAAGGATAAGAAGATATAGTAAAGGAAAGATACAGCTGAAAGTCACTGTCTTAAAGAGGTAATTTTATTCTACTAATAAATGCAGTAACATTGAGGAAGTTTTCAAACATGAAACCACTACAACTGGCAGTCAGGAAAGAGAAGGGTCATCTCAGAACATTTAACCTCCGAAGAAACTGGTCACAAAGCCCATAAGGATGCTCAGTGTATTAGTTACCACTAAATAACTGACAGCACATTTAAAGCTTAGAACATTAAATTAAACAGAAAACACTTCTGAACAACCACAGCTGAACCAGTATTCACCAGTGATGAAACAAAAGTAACACAGAAGCAGGGGGCTTTAGCTTTGAATGTTCAACATACCTTTTTTTGAGCAGCTTCCTTCTTCTTCTTGTCTTCTTTTCTCTTTTTCCTTTCTTCCATCAACTGTTCTTCCTCTTCTTGCACAAAATCCCTGAACCACACAGTTTGTAATTAACTCTCCCAAAATATAATCTGTACACACTTACATTCATTTTAAAACAATTATTTCACAGTGACACAAAAGGAACGGGGGAATTCTGCTTCTAATTGGATAATATTTCTGTAGGGACTATGCAAATCACAAGTGACACAACGTGGAGAGCAGATGCAGTGTCAAGCTACGTGTAAGAGTTTCTTTTTCCAAAAGTTACAATGAAGGCTCAGACATGAATTCCATTCAAAATGCAGCACAAATTCAGATGTAGGTTAATCCCTGCCTGCTGTTGTGCATTGCTATGACTGAGCTCACACATCGTGGCTCACCCAGACGGGCAATGGGTTTCCTGCAGCCACACAGACCCTTTGGTGCTGCCACCGGTGCCTGGACACCCATCAGCTCCCTGATCCCAAACACCACCTCTGCCAAGAACCACCCCTGTGCGCACTGCCTGAGCACCCGCTGTGTGTCTGTAAGCATGGCACTGCTGACATGAAGCACACATGAACTAGATGGCACAGGAGCCGGAGAGCATGAGCACACCAGAGCTGTCAACAGCACAGCTATTCTGGAGCACCTTTCACAAGTAGCAAAACCACAACTTGACAAAAGTGAAAACAAACCCCATGGCATGAACTTAAATTCATTTAATACAAGGTTTTACATGCTAGAACAGAAGGTTTAGCAGCAACAGCACTCTGCGGATTGCACTGTTTAAAACCAGACTTCAGCCAAGGCAAGATGAAAGGCAGGACATGGGGAGTATAAAAAGCTGGAAGAACTGAAGATGTGTAAGCACACTTCAAGCCATCAGGGACTGCAGGGACTAAGATCTGACATAAACGTCAGGATAATGAAAACAAACTTTTCTTTAAGGCCCTGCTTGGAGAGGTGCAGTGATTCATGGTGAGAATGAGAAGAACACAACTGACAGAACAGACCGTGGTCATGGGCAGGCACAAAAGCATCTGGGCTACTGGTGCAAAGAGCTCGTGACAACATGAATGTGCAAGTGAAGATCAGCTGGTTGTGTTGTACATGAGAATAAAACCAACTGCTCACAGAAAGGAAGGTTCTGAAGTTCAGGAAGTAACAATCAAGCTGAATATAAACATGAAACAGTGGTAGCAGTTAGCTTTTGTTAGAACACGATGACAGGGAGGGGGAACATACAGTTACTTCAGCGTTTGACACCTGGAGAACAAAGCCTTCCTGTGGACTAGAAAGCCTACCTGTGAGACAATTCTCTGCCCTTTCAGGGGCAGGAGTGTTTCTAAGTTCAAAGCTTGGAAGCTGTTGCCTCATCAGTGCTGACCATACAGTCAGGTCATGATTAACAGGTTGAAGATGTTTTCCCAGAGCTCTTTCTGCAGCGTACATCTAGGTTATAACACACAACCTTCCCATGCCCTGAACCTCAACACGAGCTCCACTGCACATCCAGCCTTTCACTGGGCAAACCACATCTTCAGACTAGTCTTGATTTCTGTGATACTCTGAGTGGGATGTGGGAACAAACTCCACATGTGTTGAGTAAATAAAGGAAGAAGACACCAAATTTACTCTTTGAATAACCTTCAAAGACCAGTACAAGTCCTCTCTTTTAAAGGAATGTTTCATAAGCAGCTGGTGTTCTCCCAGTCTGTACGCACTCTCTATCCCATCAGCTGCAGCTCAAGTAAAAGGAGGTGCTCGGATTTAAAGCTGCTGTTGAGATCTCTGGGCAGCAAAATTGATTAGAGACACAGAGGTGATTTACTGTGGCAAAAGAAAAGGCCAAGAAACAACTGCTGGAAAGGAAAGAACACCCCTGTTTGGGACAAGCGGTCCTGTCTGGTGTCTCTCTCCAGAATTCAGCTTTGGACATGAAAAGCACTGCTTTTATCTTTGCCAAGATATATCTGCATGTCAGAAGCAATGCCAATTGAATACAGTAAAAACCAGGACGCTCTGCAAGTATTAGAACTTTCATTACTTATTTAGACATCTAAGTAATTGGTGAATTCTACTTTCAAGACAGCTCAAGTCCCTTTCAGAATGAGCGCAAGTGCAGGCATCACCCTGGTTTGGTTTTGTCTTCTTTCATTTTCAGTTTTTAAACCCACATGTGCCTCCCAGTTCCCAGGTGCCTGGTTCCACTGCGGCAGATCCATACAACTGCCTCCCTTTTTAATTAGACAGAAGCCTCCTTTCAGCACGTGCCTCCCACTGTAGTGGTGCCAGTGTAAGCGATACTCAACAGCAGCTCAGCAGGTCTCCTCCTTGCAGCAGCCAGCAGCTCAGCACACTGCACTCTCTAACACTGCCATGCTCTGGGAAGAGAATGCACCACTCTCCTGCTGCCTACCTGAGCTCTACCTTTAAACTCTGAACCTGCTCTTTTGCCCATTGTGTGGGCAAGAAAAGTGGTTCCCCTGCCGCTGAGGTCAATGCTGTAATAACGATACTTGTATTTGAATGTCAAGTTGTGGCCACTTGGCTATTATTAATAGTGGTTTCAAACAAGGCGAGCTGTGGCAGTATTTTCACATGACATTCATCGTGGAAGAAAAGAGCCAGCAACACTTAAATTATTTATAGGGCACAGAAACTTCTGAGACTATTAATGTTAGCACACCAGGAAAAAAACCCTAGGACTGCATTTTGGGTAACTGACTGAAGCAGTTTTCTCCAATCTATTTCTATTACTACTAATACTGCCAGACAACAGCTATGCTTTATCTAGATGGCAAAAATCAATTTGTCTGGGGGGAGGAAAGTTTTGTATTCACAAAACAAGTATTTCTTAATTAGAAATCTCTTTTCTGACTTCTCTCTGTGAACAGAGTCTTTGGAACATGGTTTATGCATGTCTGTAGAAATCAGTTTTCACCCCTACCTGTTGAGATCTTTGCTCTTACTGCAAATCTGATTTCATCCTCTACTTGTTTCTTTTCCCAGTGGTCCTTTCTGTTGGAATAACACTGATCTGTTGTACATCTGGCATCCCTTTTCTCCTCACCCACTCTCAGGGTGACTTACAAGTGCCCATCAGCTCATGCTGCGTGTCACCAGAAGCAGGCTGGCACCACAGGCATTCACCAGAGGGAGAGCTGCAGCGTGCTCTGACCCCGAGCAGTCAAACACCACCCGACTCCTTCACCCTGCATACACAGACCAGGCAGACCACTGCTCCCAAGAGTTTCCACAGACCAGATGCTGTCTTTTAAGTTTCTCTAATAACAAGAGAGCAAGTATTAGTTATTCTCCTTTAAAGGAATTGCTTCTGATGTGTTTAGGTATGCAAAAAAAAACAAACCCTAAAAATGTTCTCTCTTGCCCCATTTCAGTTGCACTGAAAATCACAAACCATCACATATACCGTGGCTCTTCTGCATTTGATCCCAGTTTTATCATCTGGCTACAGGACTCACTGAGGACAGTCTCACTGGAAATGCAGTGCTGCATTTGCCATTAGGGCTCAGAAATTATTTCATGGGCAACTAAGAGCTTACTCACGTACCCACAGGACACAGTCACCGTCGGCCAGTTTCATTTAAAGCAACTCCTTGGATGCTTTGCAAACCTGAGGTAATGATTAACCTGCAGTGACATCTGTGCTCTGTAAAAGTGATGCAGAAGCTGATTTTATCCCTCCTGCCACCTCCCCATGACATCCTCTTTCCCAAGGGGAGGGAGCATGCTGTGATCCAGAGTCATTGTTGTGCAGCATCAGCCTGTTTCTGGTCGCTCTCCTTCCCGAAGTCCCCCAGCCCCAGCTCTCCCCAGCACTGGCTGTGCACATCTGAACAGGAGACAGTGTTCAAGGCCAGGCTGGATGGAGCTTGGAACAACCTGCTCTAGTAGTAGCTGTCCCTGCTCATGGCAGGGGGTTGTAACTGCATGAGCTTGAAGGTCCCTTCAACCCACACCATTCTATGAGTCTATGAAGTGTACCAGTGCTGCAGGGTGGCACGTTGCACAGGATTGTGGATGGGAACAAAACTTACAGCAGTCCTAATAACCTGAGAAAATTTCTAGGAGATAAGAAAACCACTGGTGCTTTGCTTTGTGTGACAACTTTCCCTGTGTCACGTCCAAAACTACATGAACTGAGAAACCATTCCGTGTTTAGAAGCAAGCTGTAGCACTTTCAAGAGCAAGCAGAATGCAAAGTAGCATTTCACAGGAAAAAAAAAAGTAACTCATCAATTCTGCTACAGCCACATCAACAAGATTAGGTTTTATTTTTGGAATACAGATGCTAACACTAACATACCAAGATCTCTGGAATATTCTACCGCAGCATCAGCTTTTTGTTCCCACACAGGAGCAATAAAACTCCTAAATGATGACACTGTGATCATTCTGTTTTCATGTATTTAAGAAAAACAGATTTCAGATTACAAAGCTATGTTAGAGCACATGAAAACCCCTGCAATGAATACCAGGACCTTAGAAACACTTGAAAAAAAATTACCCATCTACAGTTCACACCAAATTTGTGAGAGTATTAGACTGTCATTGTAATGTTAATTCTCAGCGACTGGAAAACAGAACTAATCCACTGTACAGTTAAACAACAACAACAGTAACACTCTTACTGCCCCTGTTCCTCACAGCAAACAGAATCTCTCCAGGAAGGCAGCCCTATTCCCACCACCCTCCTACATAAACCTAAACCTGAGATACAAGTCCACATTCACCTGTAAAGTCATCACATCTGAAGCAGAGCTCCTGCATTGCCATCCCTGACAGCTGAAGGCGCACGCTCCCTTTATTCTTGGTAACACATTAACACAAGCCCTCAACAGACAGCAAATGATGGTATTTATGCCTCAGATTCCAGCACCCATTAGAACATACCACAAACAAGCTACATTTTTAATGCTGCTCCTTGAGAAACACAAGTGTTACGCAGCGTTTCCCATTTATCATCTTAGGCTTTAAGAGCCACCTTTTCCTGCTGCATTATTCTTTGTGTACAAACTATCATCAGCTTTGTGTTACC